CATCTGTAGCCGGAGCACGTTGCCGAGGGAATATTGCTCAGTTTCAACCGCCAAAGGATCTTGGAATTTTCACGGAGATATTGGGATTTAGGAGTGGTCATCCTTTTTGCGGGAGCGCCCATCACTGTTATTTTCCCTGGCCACAGGAGTGAACAGATGCTTGCCAAGGGATTAATAGGGGTGACGAGCTCACCCATCTCGCAACGCACGCCACTGGTACAGTACAAGTACAATGACCGGTATTTCAACACTTTTCACCTTTACGAGTACTTTTTTGGGGGGGAACCTGTCCGTGGTTTTTTTTTGTGCTTGGGGGGGCTTACCGTAAGCTCCGGATCTGCCCGTATGCAATTGTATGATAAATTACGGTACGGCGGCATGGTTCCTTCGTCGATATTCAGGACCTCACGCTCGAGATAAATAGGGCGATAGTATCGCCATTTGAGGAAAAGCTCGACTAACTCCTTGGGGTCATAGATTCCATTGTCCAGGTCACCCTTGGGTGACCGAAACCATACTGTGCCCCTATCAGCCTAATCTTTGAAGATTGGAGGACAAAATTCTCGAGCGCACGCTGGTGGTCGTGAAATTCGGGAACGAATGAAAGGATGGTATGGGTGCTGTGGGACGGTGTGGAGTTCATTTGTGGCACTACCGTATCATACACCGCACCATAACACGCGCTATCCTTATCGCTCAGCGCATCCGCCGCAGCCATCCAAGGTCATGGGCTTGGGAGCGAGAAGAAAAGAAATATTACAAAATAGTGAGTTTAGGCTGTCTTTACTTCTCTCTCTCTCCTGCCTTCCTTATTCCTTCTGTTTACGAATAGGGAGTGGAGGAAGAAGATGAATGCCATCATAGAAGTGGAGGTCGATATTGCACACCCAGGGGTGTGGTTGTGCTGTGGTGGATGCCGTCGATAGAGTACAGTACAACCCCCATGCCTGGACCCTGCTTAAATTCTCCTATGCCACAGGAAGCGGAGGGGGGTTGCTATTCGAGGAGGAGGAGGAGGAGAATGGGGGGGGAAGAAGGAGGTGAAGTAGAGCAAGCGTGCAAGCATGTAAGCAAAAGGAAGGAAGGTGATGGGTGTGCGGTATGGTATCATCTGTATATCAGTTTTAGGAGACTTGGGGTTTGGGTGGGGGTTCTTCTGCAATGCGCAAGAGGCTGGGTTGGGGTGCCGGCAGTCCAGAATCTACGAGTACTTGTATATGATTATGATAAGTTAGAAGACTACGGTAAATTTAGGATAACCGTTGCTGCGCCGTTTTACCGTAAAGCAGAGTATGGGATCAGTTCGAGCTCAAGTGCGGCAACGCGGGTGGGGGAGGAGAGAGAGGAGGGGAGGGACGTGAAGTGCATGAAGCTTCGTGAGAACGAGAAAGCCGTGGTCACCACCATCTTCGCCCAAGGAAACGGTGAGAAGAAGAATAATAAGAAGGGAAGATCCCGATTCCCCAGTCATAATATCGTGCATATTGCTGGTACGGTACGGGATTCAAACACCTCTTCTAATGCACGCACAACCAAAACCCACCCCCCCCCCGATTCCATGCTGGTAAAGACCACACCGTACCACAGAGCCTCCACCTCAAACAAAGGGAAACGCCCCGGAACCGAGCCTACAAGTACTTCCTCCCCCTCCCCCCCCCCTTGCGAACATAACATCAGGAAGTTGCGAAGGACAATGTGGCTTCATTAATATGCGTATCCGAGCATCGCGCCCCACCTTTTTTCTTCCCCTCTTTCTTTCTTTTCCAAGGATCCAAGGATCCAAGATAAGTCGAGGTTGACTACCGTACCGGCACTCGAGTGCAAAGACAGCCAGTCGGTGTGCACAACCCCCACCCCTCCCTCACTCGCATTACTTCGAGCTCGACTTCCGTAATTAGAAACAGCGATTTTGTTGTGCGAAACGGGTCTTCCCTTCTTTTCCCTTCTTTCCTTCCCTTCCTTCTTGCATGGCGTAATGCATTTGTGCGACTCTGGGAAAATCTGAAAATGTGCAAGGTGGGGGGGGTGATGGTGGTGGTGTAAAGTTGGTACTTGTATCATAGTGGTCTTTCCTTTTTCCTAATGATCACTTGGTTGGTTGGCTTTTTCTTTTTTCTTTTTTTCTTTTTTTTTTGGGGGAGAGAGAGAGAGAGAGCATGTGCGACGGCGATGATTGTGGGGTTCGTTTTATCCGAGGGCTTTGTGTGTCGAAGAATTATTAGACTAACAAGGGGCGGTTCATACTTCAAACAGGCTCTTCGTTGTTCATGGCGACGGTCATCTCAAACCATGACTCTAAGCACACATCTTCATCATACAAGTCCGAACGCGTTCTGCAAAATGACGCTCTGCCGAACCTCTGCGGCTGGATTTTTGGGCTTGGGAAGCGTCACTGGCTGCGCTTGAATCCCGTTTTCTGGTGCGATGGTGCATAAATTAATTCGAGCACGAGGTGGGATTGGGAACCGGGATGTGGAGAGGAAAGTATCGTAGGTCTTGTGGAGAGACACCGAAAGAGTCGACAATCAAAAGGTTTGTGCGAGCACTGCAGTCGTCCCGAAAGACAACGAGGCAGGTGGCTCCGAATTCCGCTTTCTATTTTCAAAAAGTGTGATGTCCTGAGATTTGGACTTACAGTATCATGGTTTGGCGCTTATTGGTCTCATCAATACAATCGGAAGGATCGACACCAGAAAGCAATACGGTACTCGTACAGATGCCAAGGACGCCGTTGGGGGGTTCGACTCCTTTTCACCCCCCCCCTCCCCGTTTGAGTACCTGGCATGGCAACCGTGCACTAAATTATGTTCTCTACCAGTCACATCACAGCAAGAGCTCCCCCGGTCATTAACCGTGCCAAAAGGAGTCCAGTAATCTGCGCACTGATTAAGGTATCGTTGTTGTGTGGCCAAACGATTCCCCGGATCTCTCGATGCTCCTGGGGAACATGAGTAGAGAGAGTTCTGAATTGGAGCGTTGGGGATTGCAGGTAATCCTATGTAGTCTAGGGGGGGAATTACAGCTGGTATTGCGTGACACCCACAAATTGTGTCATATCATATGGCAGTGTGGCAATAGACTAGAGTATGGTACTCGTACTACGGTACTGTACCTCTTGAGTCTTGATGGACACTTTAAAATAGACTACTAAACAGAGCATCCACTCCACCTTACTGTTCTGGATGATGTAAGAATGGTGATCGGGTTCTCCATCAATGGACAGTATCGTACCGTGGATACCGGTAAGTATCGTACTATTCTACAAACCGCGGCAGATCGGAAGACCAGTCCAGAGCTGCCCGCGATCAAATTCGTCCACCCACCCTCCTCCCCTTCCGATATGGTCGGCGATACACCCCCCGGGAGCATACCCGCCGTACCGGTGCCTTGCCTCGGAAAACTAACTGACAGTTACCGCGAGTCATGTCATAGTTATCAATTCATCGTCCGAAGTAATACAGTGCTGACTCGTTGCACGTATTATGTATAACATATATAACATATGAACAAGTACTCGTACAATACCAGGGATCTGTGCCATGCCGGTATCACATCTCGCCAGCTGTACTCGTATACTGAGCACAAGTACGGTACTGTACAATGTCGTATCATCGCGTGGAGGGAAGGCGGCCGCGTGACGCCGATTAGACTATCTCCAGCATTTACCTCGTGGCCATTACCATGACCACTGCTACCGTCATAAAGTAAATTGGGGGCTATTATAGACTACCTGCTGCTCTTCCCGTCGAGGGCTAGGCACAATTTACGTCTATGATGCTATCGAACGAATGGTAGTAGTGTGGATCATGAACCCTCACTCGAACTCCAATGCTGCTTCATCTCCATGACTAACAAACTACTCGAGTACGGTAGTGCGCGGTTAGCATCGAGGCACGGTAACTATGTCCGAGGAGGTGTGCAATTTAAATTTATTGGCGCAACCCGTATCGTATCAGAGCGGTCTACGAGTAGCTTCCACGTGGGATGTTTGTAGGCCGGTCTCTTCAGGAACCGGTTCTCCCTTACTTGATTTATCCTAGAGAGAGAGAGGAGAGAGAGAGATAGAATAAGTTAGAGTTGAGCGAGGAGGGTTGTGGGATGGATAATTTTTAGGCAAAAAGGCTTGGACCGAGGGAGGGATGGGGGGGGGGTATCATACCTTGCTGTTTCCGGTTTTCTTCTTCTTTCGAACAATCATATTATCATTTACTCAATATAACTCAACTCGACTCGACCCTGGCAATTTGTGGTGGTGGTGGTGGTGGTAATAGTGGTTGTGGGAGGGGGGGGGTTTATTCGGATTTTTTATTTTTATTTTTATTTTTATTTTTTTCCCCCTTCTCCAAAACATGGGGATGGGATGGGGGAAATGTCTGGATGGGGCGGGCGCTAGGCACTACCGTATCTCTTCTTGAATCGGGCAGGGGGAGGAGGGTGGGGACTTGGTGCCGGTACGGTATTTACGGTATGATACGAGTACTCGTACAGGTGATGCAGCGCGCTCAAAGTCTCGGGGTACCCGGCACGATCGATCGATAGGGGGGGGGAGGTGCGATGATGATGATTAATTAAACTCAACCCTCGGAATTTTTCCCGCCTTCCTTCACCTTTATGACATTGTTGTTTTTATTTTGTTTTTCCCCTTACGGGTCAAAACGCTCTCTCTTTCCCCTCGAGCTGTGAGCCCGATCAGGGGGGTTGAGGGCTTGGCCAAACCCGTGCAGGTCCAGCTTGGCGAGATGGGCTTGGCTCATTGAGAAATGTGGGAGAAGTGGACTATTTTGGGCTTAGCATATCTCACTTCCAATACCTCCCTGTTTGGGCGCCAAGCTTGCGACATTTCAACTTTCTTTCCTGACCTTTGGGGAACATCGACGTCTACTTTGGGTTTGGGTTTGGGTTGGGGCCTTTTTTCTCTTCGAAAGTGCCATCTTGAACTTTCTTTTTTTATGATACTGACCTTCCTTTTCCCACCCCCCACGGGTACGTGTACCCCCTGACGGATAACCCTGCATCACTATCACGGCTGACTGACGGCTAACTTGCAACAACTTGGAGCTTTGTCGTCACATCCGCTTGCTCGCCAAAGAACCCCGCTACGCCTTTTCCTTACCACTATGCTGTGGCCAGCAAAGAGCGCTGAAGTACCTGCTGGCTAGTGAACCTCGAATTACGAAAACCCTTCCAATACCATCACTCACATAGGCTGTTATCATCGTCCGAAAGAACGAAAAAAACAAAAACGAAAAAAACCCTTGGAGCAAACTTGAGCCACGGAGACTCGCCAGAAAAACACCACCGTTTATGCGGCTTGGTCGCCGTAATGAAGACAATGTCGGATATCAGGGTATTTGTCACGTTCCCGGAATCGGCCGTCGTTTTTGCCGGCGAGAAACTCGAATGCAAGATCACCTTTAAGAATGTTTCCCCTCAGCCTGGTTCACGGGGACCGCACATGCCACTGCACGGCTCACCGAAGGCGAATGGGGGGTTCGCCTTGGGCGCGAACGGGAGTGCGTTGGGGGGTAAAGCGGCCCCGTTACAACTACCCGCCACTGGGAATAATAGATCTACTACTACGAGTCCGAGGATTCCCTCTGCTAGACCTGTCTCTCATCACAAACCTTCGTTATCGCTGAGTGTCCCTGCCGCAAAGCCCCCTGTTTCCCCGGTTTCCGCGGCGAGTAATGGGAAGGGACACAAACATCGGAGATCGATATCTATTGTCTCTTTGGGATCCGATGTTGGGATTGAGGGTGGTGGACGTGGGCAGGGGGAGGAGGGGGTCAGGTCTCCTTCGCTGGTACAGGGGAGACAGGGGCGGGGAGGTCACTCACGATCCACCTCGCTGCAAACAATGCCTAGGCGTTCCCCTGGCCTGGCTAACGGGTCCGCCCCAAACTCAGGTATGACGTATTGTTGGGATTTATTTTTTGAGGTACTAATATTGGTGGTAGCTACTATGTCTCCTCCTCCGCCTCGTAATAACACCCAACCGTCTACGCCAATGATCGTCGAATCGGAAAGCGTCAACAACTCCTCCTTTCCCGGGCTAACGTCAGCGAGCCCGCGAACACCAGGAGGTGCAAAGCCACTGCCCAAACTAGCCAACAAAACATTCAAGTTTCCTCCCGACCCACCGAGTACCCCTACGATTACTACTGATAGTCTACACGTCGATGAGCCCTCTTCGCATAACCCACAACTTGTTCGGAAGATATCGCAAATCGACCTCAGAAGTCCCGTGGATGAGCCGGATTATGAGAGGTTACAGAGCCGGGTGATATCCGCTCATAGCGTTAATGGGGAAACACCACGGTCGAGCGGGGAATTCTATTCTCTATCAAATAGCACAACGGAGACGTTGGTATCGGAATATGACCCCCGAGCAGCGGTGCGCCCAGTGCGTTCCACCCATAACAGGCGTCACAGCCTACTAGCCGTTGGCCCACGCTCTCCAGAGTCTTTGATGATGGGATATGCGCAGGTGCAGGGGAGCTTCATTCTGGACGGGTCGCTGATACAAACTAGTATATTTGACGAGGTGAAGCGGAAAGGGGTTGTTGGAGGGCAAATGGGAGGGGGGGTTGTGGGATTGGAGACCAATAAGGCTGATGGGGGATTTCTCAGTGGGTTTGGATGGGGGGGGATTGGCGGGGGTATTACAGGGCTTTTGGGAGGGAACAATATGAGTTCTATTGCAGAGATGAAGAACATCGCGAGTGAATATGATCTCCGCCGTGTAAAGGAGACATGGTTGCTTACAGTCCCGCAGATTCGAGATCAATACCCATACTCTCGACCCCACAATCGATTCTCTTCGTCGATTTACGGCTGAACCCGGGGGAGAGCAAGTCTTATACTTATAGCTTTCCTTTACCTAAAGGCCTCCCTCCTACGCATCGGGGGAAGGCTATCAAGGTTGTTTATAACTTGGTTATCGGGACACAAAGACCTGGGAAAGGGGTTCAACAACCCAAAGTTGTTGAGATCCCTTTTAGGGTCTTTCCCCATGTTCATGGTTAGTCACTTGTGTCAGGCTTTTTATGTGATCTGACATGTTGCAGCCGACGGGTCCTTGTTGACGCACGACTTAATGTCCCCAATTGTTCTTCTCAGAGATGAAGCTACGACAGCGTGTGTAGACGATCAGACATTAACGCCCCCCGCAATCCCGTCACCATCGAAGAAAGCTGCCCAGCAGGAATCCTCCTTAGAAGACTTTCTCTCCTACGTGGATAGTCTACTAGCACCTAAAGATGGAACATTAACACCAAATCCCCTGGGCACCCTCTCACCCTCAATCCCAACATCCTCCAAACGTTTCCCAATGGTGGAGGAACCACACATCACTAGCTCCAAAGACGCTATAGAAATGGCCATCCTGCGAGGCCCGGGCAGGTCATCCGACGGCCACTGCAGCATTTTCGAAATCGCTCGTAACGGGCGAAAAGTAGCAACACTAACGCTCGCACGGCCAGCATACAAACTTGGCGAGACAATAACCGCTGTCGTAGACTTTTCCAATGCGAGGATTCCTTGCTACCATGTATTCTCTGCGCCCCCTCACTGCTTCCGCGGGTGTATAGTGCTGACCTCAATAGATAACCGCAGCCCTCGAGACTTCCGAAACTGTAACCCCCTCCGTCGCCCTCCGCAGCGCATCCAGCATCTACCGCGCCACGCGAAAACTCCACTTTCAGCGCTCCCAGTCCACTCTCTTCTCAAAACGCGTAGTATTCACCCCCACAATACCCACCTCCGCCACCCCCGAATTCTCCACCTCGGGCGTATCCTGCGCATGGGCTCTCCGGCTGGAATTCGTCACTCCAGCTCAATCGCTAACTGCCGCTGGGAGCGGCGGCGGCATAGATGGAGCGGTTGTCACGATGGAAGAGCTGCTAGAGCAAACGCACGCTGACGACCGCGGGGAGCTATTCGAAGCTAAGCAGAACGTCTTCGTCGAGAGCTTCGATGCAAGTATTCCTGTAAGGGTGTACCCAAATGCAGCCGCTGCCGGGGAAGGGATTGGCAATGGAGGTGGAGGAGGTGCTGCTGGGGGGCAGACTGTCGCAGCAGCGGTTTTGGGATATGCGGTTTGAGTCTGAGTTGGGGAGATCTCTTTTGTTGGCATATCTATCTATTTATTTTTGCGTTATTGATCGCTTTGCTTGCTTGGTTTAATGGCTGTTATTGTTTATTCTTGGGAGTTTAGTATCATAGGAGGGTGCATGAGTACGGTTACGTGGTGGGTATGGCTGGATGGTTACGCGCATAGGGGTCCATCGGTGGAGGGGTTATTATTTAGATGGTTGGTCTTGTGAACAGGAAGGAGGGAAGGAGGGAAACACTAAAGGAAAGGGCGTATCATAAACCATAATGCCCGGTTTTTTTCTTTTTTCTTTTCCTCCCTCTTACGATAAACTTCTCTATTTATTACTTTTTTATAGGAGGGTGGTTAGATGTACCGGTATGCAGCGGAACATGCATACGACAGAGCGGCAGATTAGAGAGCTCGTGCACTAATATCGATCCTTAAAACTATGCCGCCGTTGGAACACCGCTACTGTACTAATAGTATGCTACGGTATCTACCAAAGTCTGGGAATTAACGACAAAACTCAAGGTCGCTCAAGGGCCAACTTTAATGGCGGAGGGTAGCCGCAGGCAAACACCCACCCGGGGGGGGGATCCCCTACGGCAACGCGCGCTCCTCGGAGTTGCCAATGGAAATTAAAAGGAAATATGTTATCAACCAAGTCCCACAAAAAATCCGTATGCAGAAAATCGAGTGTGTTCCGGGAGGCCGTTTCGGGCGGTCAAACCATTCCAAACCCCCCATCCCCCATGGAAAGAAAGCTATTTTCAGGACCTGCTTTTCTTAATTTTCTGGCATTTCCTAAGAAGCAATTTTTAATATCTTATTCCATTAGGCTTATTCGATCGTTACGGTGAAGCGAGAACCTCAAACTTATACCTACGATGTAATATCATTGACCAAGCCGTGTATCGTAGGCTATATATGTATGTATGGATGTATGTATGAATCGATATTTTTAAACTTGGCAACGGGAAAGAGAAGAGGGTATTGTAACTTATGCTTTCTATGAACGCCCCTCATCATTTTTGCCCCTCCTTACCCACAGTGCACTGTGCTCATACTCGTTTTCGTGCCAGCGCCCAAGATCATGAGAACAGCCAAACAATAGGGAGAAGCAAGGCGTGAAAGAGCACGGAGAGGTGGTAGAAGGGAAGGAAGGAAGAAGGAAAGGAAAAAAGAAACAGAACTTTTTGTCATCCATGCGTGGCATCATACCAGGTACGCACAGTAACATACATGCGACGAATCAAGAACCCATCCCTTCCTCAGTGGGGGTCCCCATGCATTAGCCGGCTTTGTTATTTTTTAACGACCATTAAAAGGAAAAAGAACTATAAATCGAAAAAGCCTGAAAAGAAGACCGAGAAATTAAGCCTCTTCATCACTAATGCTCTCGTCTTCATCACCAGAGACCTCCTGGTTCTCGCGCTCCTTCTTGTCCATTAGGGCTTGTAGCTCTGCGTCATCGTTCTCAGTGACCGCCTTGGGCGCCATCTTGACTATGCAGCTGCCGCCGGCAGCGGAAATTGAAGTTTGGATCTCAGTGATAGCCTCCTCGAGGACTTGAATGCCGGTATTTTTGTCTAGGCACTGAGATGTAAGGACATAAAGGGGTGGCGAGACGAGCTTGACCTTGACGGGTGTGTCAACGGTGTTCTTTGCTTCGGCTTTCCTGAGGGCATCTTTAACGGCATCGATACCCTCGTATCCAAAGCAGGTGACTTCGACATCTGCGCGGACTTTGGTTGGTTGGGGGGTTAGGCGCTTGGAGATGTAGGTTTGGAGTTCAGTCTTGACAACTTCTGAGGGGAACTGGATGCCTTCCCATACGTCCGGATTGCTGTAATCCTTGTTAAAATAAATTCGTATTACAGGGATTGGGGGGGGGGGCGAACGTAATCGAGAATTTGAATGCGTCGACAGCGTGGCCGTACTTCTTCATCAAGGGCCAACCAATATTTTCGTAGAGGTTTTCGATAGGCTCCTTTGTTTTCTCGGCGACATGCCGGAGAATGGAGTGTACCATCTTGCTCTTGTTGTACCTCTCTTCGCACTTGACAACGTCCTCGGCAGATACACGACGCTTGGAAAGATCAATGTATCCTGGTCATATCGTATTATTAGCTATCTAATTATAATCTTTTACCTCTCGTAGAGATACCCGTAGGTATAGAGGAAGAGGGGGAAAAAAATAAAATAACACAAACGCCTATGACTCATGAGCCAAACATACCTTTTTCTTCATCGACCCTCAAGACAACCACAACCTCATTTCTTCCAACTCTAATGAGTTTTTGGATAGATCTGATACGCCGTCTGGAAAGCTCACTAAGCAAGATCATGCCGTCGATGTTGTCGTATTCCAGAAGCTTCACATATGCTCCCATTTCTGCGATCTGAGGATTGCCGACATCAGTGACCACTCAATTCCACCCCCACCCTCTCCAGGAAAAGGCAGAAGATGATACCTGCTTAACATTGACCATAACATAGCTATCAAGCTCCGGATATTTCTCCTCGTAAAACCGACAAGTAGGGAGTGACATGATTGCTGCGACCTAGTTTGATATCAAGGCGAGGGAGGGAGGAAGAAGAAGAAAAAAAAGGCAAATTGTAAATTGTTATTCAGCGATAGCGAAATGTGAGACCAGATTTTTTCTTTCCTTTTCTTTCCGAACGTGGTTTTTATTTTGTGCGTGTGTGAAAGGAGTGAGATGCAGCTGCCACGAGGGTTGTGTGTGATGAAGTGGTGGAGGTGATGGGAGTCGTAGTCGCCGTTGGCTGGAATAGAAAGATGATGGTGAATTGAAGGATGGAGAGGGGCAGAAATTTGGGGTGGGGTGTTGGACCCAACATCACGTGATAGTAGGGTTTGGGTGATCCCTGAAAAGGAAACATGACTTTTGTATAGGAACGTGATACCGTATGATACAAGTTAAATTACTGCAGCTTCAACTCGCTGAGAGAGAGAGCACCGTACAAAGATGAGGTATCATAATATTATCATACCGGTACTGGGAACTTCCCCAGAACGGACATCTTTGACCCATACCCTGACCGTGCGCAATCCCGCATTCTTGCTGCGGTACATAATATTATCTTCTACAGCCTTATGCAAGATCTGGCCGTGTGATTTACAGAGAAGTTTGCCTTGCTGTCATAGGTGGAAGGAACCCCCGCCACGACAGACCGACGATACTTTGTCGAAATGCTTTTCTACGGTGTCCCAATAATAATCATACCGCCGAACCTGAATTAGTAGCTTGAACCCGTGTTACTGCAGGTGTGTTGCTCCACTTCTCTTGAGGAAAGAGGAGGAAAAGAAAGAAAAAATATTCCGAAAAGTCTGCGCAGAGCTAATTACGTCGCGAAAGCCTTCGCACCTTGATCTCTGCATGGAATATTAAAATGCCATCACAAAAGTATGGAGGAGAGAAGCAAGAGGGGATGAATCAACGCATACCCAGCTCCCCGGTCCATTCCTCCAACTCCTTAACTATGGCTTCCAAGTCGCCAACACGCTCATCCAGGTTATCCACCTGCTGTTTGTACTTCTCTATCTCAGCATCTACGGCAAGTTAGCGGCCGGCCATGCAAGGAGTGCGCGAGAGTGCACGAGAGGAAGAGAAGGTGTACATTTTTGCCCAAGGTATTCGCTATCAGTTTCCAGCCCCACCGCTGCATCCGCAATAGCTTTGTACCGCTCGGTGGCATGAAGGTTGACCCTATTCAGCAGGTCCAGGTCTCCAACCGTAGCCTCCGTGTCGGCGCGAATGACATTCTCCAATGTCTGGAATGCAATCATTAACAACAAGTACGATCTGGTGCGGGAAATTTTGAATGTAACTCACGGCTAAAACATCATTCACGTTGTTCGCAGTCTTCTGTGCAGCCATGTTTTCGAGTGAATTTTTGGTACAGATACCTGTAGGGTGAGTGAGTGAGAGGCTGTGTCTTATCATTCGGTAGTCCCGGATAAACCAGATGGAGGGAGGGGGAGGGGGTGAACCTTATGCAACCAAACCCAACAACCCTAAGTCAATGAATGCCAAGACAACCGAACACACAAACTTTCTCCATCAGTCAGTCAGTCTGGCACACACCCCACCCACCGCCCGTCTGTTCACCCTCGATAGGACCAATAATTACTGGGGAAAAACTACGAAGTTCATCCAAATTTATACCCCGAGGAATAAGGAAAAATGTTTCGACAAGCAATTATTCAAGGAGCCCGACAATTCACTCCTGCTTGCAGAGGAGGAACCCTAAGGACCTCCCCGGTAGTTGTTCATTCGGTCCGGCAATGGCAAGTGGCACCTTCATACGCCCGATTACGGAGGGGGTACTTCACCGAGCAGACCACAAGTACCTCATCATCAAAGGAGAAGGAAAATGGACCAACCCCAGCAGCGTCGGAACCCCAGACGAAAACCGACCAACAACGATCGCCAGAAGACGCCAACGAATTAACCAAAGAAGTCGAGACCCTAAAGAAAGACGTCGAAGAGCGGGCTAAAGAAGCCAGAGACTACAAGGTACTTCCTTTCCCTTCTCCTAAAACACCCAATCTAACAGGAACCCCCTCACTAGGACAGATTCCAACGCGCGGCAGCCGACTTCCGCAACCTGCAGGACCGCACGGAGCGCGAGAAGAAGATAGCTAGGGACTTTGCTATACAAAAGTTCGCCAAGGACCTCGTCGAGTCGGTCGATAACCTCGACCGCGCGCTCTCCGCTGTCCCGGCTGAGAGCAGGACGGAGGAGAATAAGGATCTGATGAACCTGTACAATGGCCTGAAGATGACGGAGGAGATACTCTTGAACACCCTCAAACGTCACGGGCTCGAGAAGGTTGACCCCATGGGTGAGGCGTTTGATCCGAATAAACATGAGGCCGTGTTCCAGGTCCCCATGCCAGACAAGGAGCCTGGCACTGTGTTTAATGTGCAGCAGACTGGGTTTGCACTTAATGGGAGGACTATCAGGGTGCGTTTTTTCCCGTTTTCCTTCTTTCCCCATTCTCCTTATTTACATATATATCCTTTGGAGATTTTCGTGTTAACAATGTCCTATAACAGGCTGCAAAGGTGGGCGTAGTCGCCGCCGCGGTGGAATAAAACATATTTTGCGGAAAATTGATCATTGGCGCCCGTGCGGGCGAGGGGGGGCTCATAACCTAATGAGAGCCTTTTTCCAAGGAATAAAAAAAAAAGGAAGAACCCATTTTCCTAAATTTCGTGTGAATATAATAGTATGATACTTTGGGATGTGGTGTTTGGCTTTTTATTTTTTATTTTTCGTTTTGCGGTTTCGGTGTAACTTTTTTTACACGCTCTACTGTGCATAGTATCTCCTCTCTTCCAGCATTTTTTTACAGGAAAAGTCATGTTTGTCGTCATCGAGATAAAACCAAAACGCTCTGTATACGTATTTCTAGAAGTAGAAAAAAAAGCAAAAAGGTCTATAACTACTTTTCACTCTTCTCCCGTACTTCGGCACCAAATTCCTCAACCAGGACTCTTTTAACCGCTTGTTGGAGAGAATTGGCCTCATCATTCCTGAGGGTCCTTTCGAGTGATCTGTAATTGATCCGGAAGCACAGCGACTTTCGCCCAGTCTTTGGATGCGTGAATTCGTCGATCTATCCTATCATGTTAATATATCCCCAGGAAGGAAAAAGCAATTTTATATATTATTTTTTGTAAAATACCAATTTCACATCCTCCGCAAGATCTCCCGCAACATTTCTAACAATCTCCATCATGTCATTCTCATGGAATGGCACCTGGCCCCCAGCAGCACTACTCGAATTGGGTAGCCAGAAGGCAATGTCTTTGTAGCAGGGCGGGAATTTTGAGAACGGGACGAATCTGGAAACCTCCCCCCCTTTGAATTGCCCGAGGAAACGCTCGTCGAGGGACCAGAAGAGGCGGATGTCCGGGACTCCGAATAGGAGCATAGCGACCCGCTCTAGGCCGACGCCGAAGGCCCAGCCGATCTTGTCAGGGATCCCTAGAGAGAGAGGACAATTAAGAGGAGGTGATGAAATGGTTAGAGGGGGGAAATAATTAACAAACCGGCATTTTTTGGCAGGCTCTGCTTAACGACACCACACCCTAATAATTCCAGCCAATCCCCCTGCCAATACACTTCGAGTTCCCAAGAAGGGCTTGTGAACGGGAAATACGCCTCCACCCACCTCACCCTCAACGGTTCCTCACTCACCCCCTCCGCGCCTGCACCACTGGCCGCTATTGCTGCCACCCTCGCCTGGCCAAACACCTCCGCAACAACATGCTCTAGACAAAGCTTCAAATGCGCGCCAACAGCCCGCACCTCCTCGGCCGTGTGCTCCACCTGCAGTGGGTTCCTCTTCTCATGAAATGGAGGATTAGGATCCATAACATTAATCCCATGCTTCGGCATACTCTCAATCTCCTCCCTGATCACGGCTGCGACTCCCCCCGAGGCTCCGCACTCATTGCGTGACCACATCCTTGCTCCTTCCATCTGGTGGAAAACAGGGTAGTGACTCCGATCGATCGCGTCCCGCCTGTACACGTCCGCCGAGATAAGAAATCCGTCTGAGGTTCCCGAGCGGAACGTGTCGGCCTGGTGCGCGGAGGTGTGCGTGCGCAGGACAGTGTCCTTGTTGATGTAGTAGGTGTCCGTGCGACACCTACCTGGGTGGTCGATGGGGAAGCCGAGGGAGTCGAAGTTCTGGTGTACGGAGACTATGGGGGAGAGGTCGTTGTGATATTGGTACGTCGGGCTAGGGAAGCGGGATTCAATGAGGCGTCTGGTTATCGAGAGCGGGTGGGAGGGTTGGAGGTGGAGTTTTCGCGAGAGTGCAGAGGAGATGTGCGAAGGGATGTTTGTCCATTCGTCAATTGGGTAGTGTTTTCCTTCTAGTTGAGTTGTTGGTGGCGACGGTGGTTCTTCTGTTGGCGCAGATGCACTTGTTGGTTAGGCTCAGTTTCACACAGGCAGTGGGCGAGGATTCGTGAACGAACTTGTTGAATATTTGCGCCATTGAGAATGGAATTGAGTGATTCCTCTCACCCTGATCACTTCCGGGAAACCTCCGAATGTGCCGGAGGTTGTCGGGAGATTTCTGGAGGAGAAAAGTAGCCGCATGCCGACTGCCTGTGATGTTACTTGAAGGTTTCGCTCGGACAGTCAAAACATTAAAAAAAGGTTTGGTGTGATGTTGATAGCCCTCAGCTGAGTCAGCCGCTTTCAAGAATGGTAAATTCCTATATCCCTCCTCAATATCAACCTCCCCCACCAATCAACCAACATTACTAACATATACTGGTGAAGATGCAATCGTTCTTCCCGTCAATCGCACCTCTGTTGCGCACAGAGGTGCAGTCAAGTAACTCCTTCTTTCCCCTCCACCCCTCACCCATAACTAATCAACCACTACAGTCCCCCTCCTAAGACTCTTCTCCACAACTTCCACCCCACAAGACTGGCTCCGTATAATATCCCTCCCCCCCACCAACTCCCCACCCCGCCCAAAACTCCCTAACACCCACAGTCAGGTCCCCGCACCGACCCAAAACTCCGCTTCAAGGGCAACCCACGCGTGCACACCGGCGGCTCCACCCGCGGGACCACGATAGCCTGGGGCGACTACGGCATGCGATTATCCGACTACCACCAACGCCTGTCCGCAACACACCTAAAAAATGCAGAAACAGCAATAAAGACCAAACTCCGCGGGATGAAGTACAAATTGTACAAGCGGGTCGCATGCAACATCGCCGTGTTCCAGAAGGGCAACGAGGTGCGCATGGGGACAGGGAAGGGCACACATAAGTTCTGGGCAGCCAGGGTTCCCGTTAGTCGTGTGCTTTTCGAGCTCAAGGGGGAGGTGCACGAGCAGATTGTCAAGGAGGCGTTTAGGTTGGCGGGGGATAAGATGCCTGGTGGGTTTTTCTCTTCCTTAAGTGCGGAGGGGGGCGGGAGAGGAGGGGGCTGATGTAGAGAGAGAGAAGGCAGGTATGAATTCGTCAAAAAGGGAGACCCGCCAATGATCGGTAGGGCCCCAGTCACGCCGGAGCTGCTGAAAGAGTTGGAAGCTAGGAATTTTAAGTTGCCGCCTAAGAAGCGGGCGTGGGTTGATACGCTACCTGAGCATAAAAGAAAGTTGCTCAAGCCTTTGAAGCCATAAGTTTCTCATACTGTACATAATCAAACTACACCACACCACCGCACAGATATCGACCCACAACACCACCCCTATATCTTCCCCCTCCCTCTTCTGCACCCCAACGCCTACGGCATGCAGCCAACCACCATATTTATCGCCAAAATAAAAAAAGCTCAAACATAGTTACCGCCCCTTCGGTTTCTCCGGTGGATGTACCACTCCCGTGAGTGTATCTATCCTCTCGTGCCCGGGGTGATCGCGGGTCAGTTTGATATGTAATAGACTGGTGAGAAGGAGAGAGCATAGCATACGCGGTTGATTCGGCGGCGGCGGGGATTAGTACGGATCCTTGTGTGGGTTTGATAGGGAAGGCATGGTTGCCTGTCTGGCTGGAATGGAATGGTATTGTAAGGAAGGTCTTTGGTATTTGTTCGGCTGAGAGGATTGAGATGGAAAGGTGGAAGGGTGGTTTATATTAACTTGGCGACGTTCTAAAGGTGGTGGTGGGATGGCGTCAATGTCAATTGGGACTTGATAAATGGTTAATCTATCGGAATTGGGTCGCCAATTATCACGTCTGAAATCCAGCACTCATAATCAGACTTTGTGGAAATCTTAGTATGCATGCTACTGCAACCTAATCGCAACAGATAGTACAGACCATCTATAAACCTTCGATCGTACAAGCCATTGTTCATGAAAAGCATCAAGCAAGCAAGCAAACGCCATCATCGTCCCTAAACTTTTGACCATTATCCATGCAATTATACCCTCTAGAACTCCATCCCCATCAAATAACTCTCCAAAATTCTCAAGAACTTTGCCACGAATGCTTCTAGGTGAAAGATCACTTTGCTTCCAAGGTGAATTCTGTGCTCGTAGAAAGCAGCCCACTTGATGACCTCAGCTTTGAGAACGTCATCGATTTTCGCAACCAGACGGAAGGTCAACAATTTAAGGATGACCGTGGCTGGAATGCAGTGGGTAAGCAGGTCGTAGAATTTTGCACGCACAAGGAGGATACTATAACATTACGTTAGAAAGCCCCTGTTGCACCACAAACTATTCTAAACATACCGAGCTGGAGAGTGGTCTGCAAGCAATTCGTCCGCGATTTGGCCGATCAAAGTCTCGTAATCCGGAGGAGGAATTGGTGTGTTATCTTTAACAACCTCACTGCGTTTCCGAAAAAAGTCAGCTACACATCAAATGGAAGTGCAAAAACACAATAACGCGTCGCATAAGAGCTTACTTTTGTGCATAAAGTGCTTCAAACATCAATAACGCCCTTCTTAGGTTTCTCCCGCTCTCCTCTGCAACCCTCCTAGCCAACTTGTCACTGAACTCAAACCTTTCCAACTCAGCTACATGCTTTAGTACCCCAACCATCTCATCAATTGTAGGTGCCGCAACTCGTATGAGTAACGTCCTGCTCTTAATCGGGGCAATGATATTGGCAGTAGAATTGGCAATCAGTATCAGCCTTAGATTTGGGGAATATTTCTCCATTGTCCTTCTCAACGCAGCCTGAGCATCTCTGGTAAGGTGGTCCGCCTCATTGATGACTACAACCTTGAATTTCTGCTTCGCAGCGATATCCACCTGCTGTGTCTGACCAATTTCTTTGAGGAGCGACTGTATAATGACCCGATCATGATTGCCAACGTCGGATGGAGTGATTTCAATGTGGTAGACAGATGCGACGATATTGAATTCAATCTTACGATTGGTAGTTGTCATAAAGACACGAGAGTCGATTTTAATCTATCCAACCCCCTTAGTAACTGCTGCATCTCGCACAGCCCTCCCCATGGTACTGCGGATCAAAATACCTTCTCGACACCAGGACCATATAGCTCTTTCAACGTAGCAACAATTCGAGTCTTCTTACCAGCTCCAGAAGGTCCATACACTAGCAGATGTGGGAAATCGCCACTATTGGCCTATCGCAAAAAATGAATTGTTAGTTTCACCCCACGCACGAACCACGTCACTCCGGTCAGGCATAATCTGGGGTGCATACCAGAGCCTTGAGTCTAGAAGAGAGGCCTTGATGATACTAAAGTGTGAAGGGTAGGAAACCGTACTCGTCAGCTGGGCTCCTACAGATAGAACACAAGACAAAATAAACTAACATGCAAGGCCTCGAGCTTCCGAGGACGGTGCTTATCGACGAGGAGCATCGCTGTTAACGATTCAGGCTGTGTTTTTTTTTATTTCAATAAGTCCGCTTCGTCAAAAAGGCCCGACGAAAAAAAAACAAGAGGTAAGTCTGGGGTGGAAGAGAAAGAGACTTTTTCGGCGGGCTGGGGGTTTGTGTGGTTTGCACTGTACAGGGGGGCGTTGTTTGTTAACAGGGCTCTCCCGGGGGAAACGCGACGTGCAAAGACCGTGTGGCACAGTTTCAAACTCACGAGCTAAAGATCATTCGGGAGCCTCCCCACTTAGCCACAGCACAGCTATCCTCCTAACACCACAGCATCATCACAGCCGGCACATGGTCTTAATGCCGTGCAATACGGTAATCACCGGTACCCACGTACTAAATTTTAACGCCGTGTGTACGGCACGATACTCTATGTACTCGTACTCTAGTACACACCGTACGAGATACGGTATCATGGCGTCGGGCAGACTTTTAAACTCCCAGACTCAGCATCTACTGGCCTGGTCTGGTGTTTACCTTGACGTGAGCCTCCCCAAAGGCCGGAATCCCAGACATATGGTCACATACCCAACACAGAAAATTAAGCCTCCACCCGGTGTCCATACCGGTATCAAACCTCGCGACGTCTCTAGTGCTGGAGTCTTACCTACCCCAAGATAACCTATTCGAGTACACTACTCGAGTATACAGTATAATACCCCCAGGATGAATGCTTTTCACACATGACTTTTGTAAAGTGGCGTAGGTTAGCCCCTAAACCCGTGGACCATACCGGTACGTACCGAGGATAATAAGATCTCCGGGATGACTTTCAAAAGTAAGAATGTCTTTCCACCGGTAGAGGAGGAGCACTTAGGGCAGGAAAGAGCTCAAAAGTAACCACCGATGAATGCGGCACCGTGCCGCCGCATACAAATACGGCACAAGCACCGGTGCCCACAAGAGGGCGCGGTCACTATGCAGTTACAAGTAGTAGGATAATACCGTACTGGTATGATAGAAGGATGTTGGACAAATAAATTTATGAGATGTGCTGCGTATCATAACCTAGGTAGGGCATGGCGCGCTACCGTACCGGTTATCATACTCCAAGAGAAGAAGTTTAGCAGCGAGATGAATGAGGCAGTGATAATTAAACCTTGATCCAGTTGCCCTGCAACACATCCTGAGCATAGCAATACCGGTACCTAAAGAAGCAATAAAGAAAACGAAAAGTGGAAAAGAAAGAAAAAGGGAAAGAAAAAAACCCCTCTCAAAAGAAGATAACCGAACCCTGCGAGTAGTGGGAGGAGGTAAACCACCTTTTTGTCAATTTTTTACTTTTATTCTTGAATATCTGATTGCGGTAGGAGGAGCCCTCGCATGTCATTCAGGTCGTCGATTTTCGGCCCAAACTATTGGGCGGAGAAAGGCCGCTGTCCGTCTGTCGCGCCCCCCAAGTAAACCTACCGTCCAATTGTCCGCAGGAATCGAGATGCTGGCGGGCAATGCAACGGCGAAGACACTCCGAGCTTCCAGAAAACACTTGTAACTCTACGAGTAGCAAGACTGGAGACTCCTTTTTCTTTCGGGGGTGCGTGCGCTGCTGCGCCTCCAGATCCAGCGATCGCTGCCGCCCACTGTCTGTACGGGTATGACCAATCCCTCCTTTTGTGTGGAGGGGGCGTTGCTCCTCTCTACTCGTGGACTCTCTCTGCCCGGGGGCGAAGAAAGAGTGCCTGAGTGCGCGAGATAATCTGTCCGTCCCGCAAAATTTTTTTGCGGAGACAGAGCCCGAGTGACCAGGCGAGAGAAAAACCCCCGAAAGCGAAGCAAAAGGCTTGGGAACTACGGAAGGTAGCTAGCGCGGGACGCAAAGGGTTCGCCTCAATCTCCGCTACTCCGTCTTCGCTGGCTGTGTCTTGGGGTTTTTTCCTGCCTTCTGGGTTACCATTTCTCCATTCATCCCTGTACGCCACATCAACCCCCCCAAGCTTTCTCGGACCTGACCCTGCGCTCGCCACCAACCACCACATCTTATAAAGATCCATTCTTCGCTGTTGGGGATCTGTCGTTATTCACCAGCACCACCAACCAAAAAGGAACCAAAAAAAAAAAAGTCTGCTACCATAGTAAGCTAGTCTTTATTCCACACAGGCAGCGTCATCCACATCACTACTTAACTGACCAACGCTCCCCATCTCCTCAGCAACCTTCAACCTTCACAACCGCAACATCTCACCTCACACCTCCATCAAACAAAGACCGAAGACCAATTCAAACAATGGAGTCCCCAAAACTCTCCCCCGCTGTATCCCCCCTATCCACACCAAACAGATCTAGAACGTCATCCCGTGGCTCACACCTAACTCTCGACCTCTCCTCCTTACCACCACTCACTCAGCCAGCAACACCCACAAACACGCTTCTAATAACCGTAATCCCCCATCCAATCCCCGCTAAATCCCGCCCAAATTTGACTAACGCATACCACAGAATCTCATAAACCCCTCGATCTTCGACTCACCCCACCTGCAGCAACTCCGCAGCGTAATCGAGTCCTCGGCAACACTAGTCTCCTGGTCCCCGCTAAAGTCCTTCCGGCGGATCGTGTGCTCCTTCGCGACGACGGAGGACGCCATTAGTGTGCGCCAGGTGCTGGATGGCGAGGCAATCATGGGAGACCGTGCACGTGTTTACTTCGGCGAGCACACACCCGTACAACCGGTGGACCAGCACCTACAGGCGCCGGAGTCGAAGAAGCTCTTCTTCATCTCGCCCCCGCCCTCGCCGCCACACGGCTGGGAGCTGCGCAACGAGGAGCCGCCGAATGCCGTCGTCGTCGCAGAGGACTTGGCGCGGGCGCTCGCGCGGCTGGATTGGGTGAGGGCTGGTAAGAGTAATACTAGAGACAGCGGGGTGGATGGTGCTAGTGGCACGGAGGCGGGGGGAGTGTCACCCACCTGCCGCCCTAGGTCCGCCAGCTCCGTCGTCCTATTCGAGCCGGAGGAGGTCGGGGATGGCGAGAAGAAGATGCCCGCCATATCCGTTGATGATTATACCGATTCCGGAGACGAGGCGAGTCCTGTTTCGCCGGTGGCTCCGGTATCGCTACACACGGCCAGACCACCCGTCGAGCTTATTCAGGACGCTTAGATTTACTTGCTTTCTTTCCTTTCCCTTTTTTTTTTCTTTTGCTTGCATCAAATTTTTAATATGGATGGAGCGGTTGTGGGTTCTATAGTTAACTGAGGTGGATGGAAGGGCGTCTTTCAGGTGTTTTAACTGATGTTTTGTCTTTTCTTTTCTTTTCTTTTCTCTTTACGGGTGTCCGGGGGGGTGTACTCGGGGTGGGGGTGAAGTATTGGGACAAGCAGGGGGCTTGATGTCTGTGTGAATTACTTGAAGTGGGATTGAAGATACCAATTTGAGTAATTTGCACAGACATCTAACCCCCCTGCTCGTCCCAATACTTTCCCCCTACCCTAGTATTCGTGCAAGACAAGGATTGTTTTGCTCGTTCACTACCCCTGTCTTGTACGAATACATCTCTCCGGGTACCGTACTCGTAGAGTCAAAGCGTTTTTAAAAAGGACTGCTATTGCATACCGCCAAGACTTGGCCATTTTGTTTGGATCTGGGTGGTATGTGATAGTAGCTCTTTTTCAAAGCACTTCTACTCTACGAGTAACTATACACATTTTCCTGTTTTTCTCTTCTTCTGCAAGATGTAGAACAGGAAATGCGGATTATTACTATTGGGTTCGGTCTAGTCTAGTCTAGTCAGCGGATAAGGGAGTTTTCTTTCCTTTCCTTTTCCTTTTGTTTGTTCTGCATCCCTCTCTTTTTCAATCTTTTATCCCAATCCAGTAAAGTACAGTACATCATTAACCCTCCAACTCAGTAAATATTTTTTCCTCCTTCAAAAGTTTTATCTGCCAAGTTGTTAGTTCATGGTCAGGGTTTTCATTAAATTCCTTCTCTCTTTTCGTTACTGCCATTTTCGTCACTGCGCCGCATCGTGTTGTGCGGCAGTAAAGGGCGTTCGGCTCCGGTGTCGGAGAATAACTTTTCCGAGTGCCAAGTTTCCCGTGGTCCGCCAGATGTGTATGCAAAAAATGGCGACACACACGAAACCTGCATCAACCCCCAGGGCTGAGCGCCTCGAATGCATAGCAGTGAACTTTACACGATAATAATAATATTATCTATCATACATTCAACCTCTCTCCACACACACACACCCAACCACCGCTATTTCCCTTTCGACCCCTTCCCCCCTCATTTTCATACAAATAGAATCCACATTCCGCATCACTAGCCCAAGTACGAGTACAGTATACAACACAAAAAGTGCATAACAATCCAAAGTATTATAAGCAACTCGCACGATCCGCCACCGAGAATATTTCCAAACACCGAGAATCTTACTCGCCCTTGCCGGTCCTTTGTTTCAGGACAGCAGCAGCAGAAACCGTCGCTGCGGACGCGATCCGCGCGGACCCGGGACCGCGCTGCGGAGCCCATCCCGCAAATACACTTCATGAGGCATCACTCGAGGGGCTACTGGTGATGTCTTGATCAGGCGACGGGATTGGTCGTGTGGGGTTTGATCTCCAGCGGGGGGTAAAAAAATGTGAAGGTATTTTTGCCCCCCACTGTATGTATCATATGATCGGGTGGGGTGGATTTTGTTCTCCTCAGCTCTGGTCAGACCTCCATTTTTGTGGCGGTAGTGAGTATCACGTGCGTTGCGGGACGGGCGGATGAACGGGTGGATGAGAAAGGGTCGCGTCATGGGGTATGATTCGGAATGGGGCTTTGTTAGAAGGGTATGATATGATACTATAAGCAGGTTTTACATAGTCTACCTGAGGTGTTACGTTACGATATCATACGACACAATATCCGCCGTGAAGCGTTCGGGTATCATAAGAGCTGGGTTGTTGAAATTACTTACCCCTACGGGAACAGGGGTAATTCGTGATGAGGTTTCCGATACACTCTCCCTGACAGCCGAGGCCCACTCCTATTGTAGTGAGCGCCGTACAGTTCGACGAAGCCATCCTGGCTGTATCGCCGCTTATCATCTCTGCCCAGAGCTGTTTCCCATCATCTGATCTACCGTATGACGGGCAAAACCCCACCACAAGATAACGGACCCGACAAGTGATTGAGAAGCTCGAAAAGAGGGGTGGAGCCAAAACATACAGTGCCTGCTGTTGCCCGCAATTTGGAGGTCCGGTGCTGGAACATGTGGGTGCCAACAAACCAGGCCCTCAAAGGGCTCGAACAATGGTATCATACTTGATGTCTGTCAATGAGGCACGGAGTAGAGCGCAAGCGTTTGTGCAACCTCAAGAACACAGCGGCAGCGGCAGTGAAAACTCCCCCACGCCATACGACAAGAATGCAGCAGTATGTTCAATCCAGAGGGGAGTGTGTGGTATATATGAGGCTCAAAAAGATACGGAAAGTATCGAAATAAAGAAACAACCCTCCTTAAAAAGGCTCAGCTGTCATTTGGTGCTGTTGCAGAAGCTGTTCAAAGCGGGTGAGAATGGCAATAAAGGAAAGGCTTCGGAAGCCTCTGTTTCACATCACCGGATGCCGTACTAAATTTACTATTGTAGATGTTTCTGCTCTTGTATGGTATCATATTTGAATCGTGATTAGGTGGCGAAATTAGTGCAAGCTCAGTCATCAGTAGGAATGAAAAAAGTGAAAAAAGTGAAAATGTGTATAATTATAATATTATAATAATAAAATTTTATAATATTACACACATACAGGGCCTTACTCCAAGCGCCAACTGCAACGTCCCAGCATCTCTCTTGCGGACTATCATACCCCAACTAACATACTTCCGCCTTAGCCCATCGTGCCGCACTACGGAGATATATCATAAGAGGGGAGAGAGAGGGCCTAGACTACATGACTTATGATACAGAGGAGGAAAATAAGGGAAAATCCAATTTCGGTTTTCAAACATACGATCAGCGCCCTGCGCTGCGGATAAGAGTATCATGTCTTGGGGGCCGACTTGGCTGTTCCCCTGTACGCGAGCGATCCCCATACGCTGTCAAAACCCCATCTTCAAGTCCCGCCCAACCATCCTCCAACCTCTGCGGGTTTGCTACGACATCCGAAATCCACTCGTCGTGAGGAGACTCACTTGTTAAGCTAATCGCAGATCGGCACTACCCGCCGCCACATGGGATCATATGGGATGGCATCATTACCCGGCATCAAATTTTATAGAGCGAGATATCATACCCTTTTTCTTCTTCTTCTTGGGATGTTGTACTCTACAGGTGTAATTCAGTGGGATAACGTACTCATTGCTCGAACACTAGAAATGGAGGTTCTTTTTTGGGACCCCGCCCCGTACGATACTATGATCAGAAACTGGTTGGCTGGCTGGCTTGAGAAATTGTTAGTAGGGGCATGAAAAAGTTTTGATTTCTAACCCCCCCCCCTTTCCATCGAGTTCTGTGCTGATCCTCGGAGAAGAAGAAAACATTATCCCCCATATGATATCGTACAACCGGTATTTGAAGACCATGAAATGGTGGAGAACGGGTCATGAGAAAGGTCCTGTACCATACCCCTACCCCCCCCATTACACGGATCCAACACACACACACACAGAGCCCAAATATCATACTCCTCCTCGACTTTGACTTTTTGTCAATCCTTCACCGTTGCGTCTCAAATTTCCTTTCCCATCCTCGGCGAATCCCCCGCGCTCCTAGAGCATCCAAAAGCTCTAGGTGTCGTATGATATAGCCACCACCTGGATTCACGTGACTCTTGTGTTGGACGCTCGAGTTGGGGTTTTTGTGGCCGATGTGGGTGTGATACTTGGTGATAGTGGCATGATCACACATTATCACTCGTATATTGCACCGGGATATTGAGAGTAGCGGAGACTGGATCATGGCGGAATTGGGCTATATAAAGTAGGGATTATGAATGTGGCGAAAACTCTGGTCACCGGGGTGGTCGTTGTTCGCCTTGGCTACAGTATTAGCTCTCTGCTTTTGGTCTGGTTGAATTGGTTAAGTTAACTCGTGTTCTATCTATCCTTATTAAAAGTGGAAAAAGAAAGAAATCATCTACAATTTTTTGTGGTTTATAGGGTTGGGGTGCCCCCTGATCCAAGAATCTAGCTCCTCAGTCGAACGCTCTGAAGGAAAGAATAAATAAGAGAGTGAGACAGGGGGTGGATCGTAGACTAGTTTGATGGTGAAAATGTAAATAAAGAAAAGTAAAGGGAACACGCTGAGCTTTTAAGTTACACACACCACTGTCCATCTATATCATGACCCTATGGACATCCAGAATTCCGTTGTCTGGGTAGTGAATGGAGGGGAAACGACTGAAAGAAGTGAGTAATGTATGAAAGGACAGGGAGGAAGAAAAATAGCCCCACAAGCTGTGCTAAGAAAATGGATGAAAAAATTAAGAAAGCAAGAGAAAAAGGTCTCTCAATAATGTCAGAGAAGCCACCATGCTACTCTATCCTAGCCCCCTTAAGTGCAGATCGACCAAGTGGTTCTGTCGCACCTCGTAAACATGCATACAGATCTCTGGGAACCGAGGATGGCTGGGGCGAGGCCTCGACTACCGAAGGATGCTACTTCTCTCAATTGCCTCTAACAGCTCTGGTCTGTCCATCTCTCTGAAGCACTGGGAAGCTTCTTCGTAAGTCATCCATCTTCGTCTTCGCTTGTGCATTTCGGGCCAGAGAGCTTCCTCTTTCTCTACTTTAAACTCAAAGAAATAGTAGAGAGCGCAGGGAGGGATTTTGCTATTCGACTTTGCCGCATCAAGGACGTTCTGTGGCCTCGGGTCCCGAATTTCCCCAAGATTCCGGGTTATTTTACCGGTTATTCCTGCTTCCTCCCATGCTTCGCCTATAGTGAAATTTAAAGATGGGTATCAGTCAATTGCTTGGGGAGCCGATAAAACAACGCCGAAATGAAATAATTGAATAAGTTGGGTGTAATGATTCACTTGCAAGGCGCAATTGTGACGAAAAAAAAGAGTAAACGTGGTTGGGCTTTGTCGGAGCAATTGTACGAGGAAGTGAAAAGAAAAGCAGAGATGAGTTGGGATTCACTTACGACTGGCGGCGTCCTCCGGGGTTGGTTCATCAGTTTCGTAGCCGCCCTTAGGCAGGACCCAGTGATTGTCACGGTTTGTTGATTCGACAACAAGAACCTTTCGTCTATCGATGGAGATTGCCACGACTCCGGCAACGAGGCGAGATCCATCGGATGCGTATCCTAACAACAGCGAATACCATGAGCCGGGAAACTACCTTATTTCGATGGGGTAAAAAAGAGACGAGCAGGGGAGTTAGACGCAATTGATAAAAAAACGTTGAAAATGCTACATACGTTGTTTGACTCTCCCGACGCGGGCCTGAAATGCTGTTTCTCAGTATATGCACATGGGGAGCAATAAAGTTTCTTGAACAAGAACCGACCTCCATCGATCGACTTTGAGCCATTTCAGTTGTATGTGGCTCTCAATTACCGGTAGAGGTGTTGAGAGCAGAAGAGGAGTGGAGAGAACAGATGTTGCAAACAAGAGGTGGCAGGAGGGTGAATTTTTTTTCTTTGAGGCGAGGAGGCGGGATGTTGTCCTTTTCTGGCGGGACTTCGCAGTTTTCGTGCCGGGTTTGCTAGGGACCGTTGGTTTGTGGAGATGGAGAGGAGAAAAGAGGCTTGTTTCAGAGAGGGTATGAAAGCTTAAACAAACAAGAATAGGTTTCCGGTGGAACAGATATGTGGACGTGCGGTATGATACAGCAAGGTCTGGAAACACAACAAACCGACAAAAGTCAGCACAAAGCGGTGTGTTGGTTTATAGAGGAAAGTTCAATCCAGTTTCCTGATGAAAAGGAGAACGAGCCGAGTACAGTACTGGGATTTGAAGGGGGTAAAAGATTCTTTCCTGAGAAAGTGATCCTTGGTGTTGGTGGTGGTGATTGAAGGGAAGAAGAAAGGTACCTTTGGATTTTATATATGGGGAAGGGACATGTGTGCAACTTTAAATCTTGACAACAAAACGAACATCCACATGTGGTCTCTCATTGACTCCTACGTTCTTCCTCACTGATTTCTTTTTTTTATTTACTTTTTTTATTATACCGTATTTATATATTTATCCCTCTGTCCTGTAACCCCCCTCCTAGTCTTCTTTGGGTGCACAGCTACTAGATACTCCCTTCCTGCGAGCACACATGGGGGTAACTAAGTCCTGAGTGAACACCCGATCTCAACGGAGTAAGGAATCAAGATCGCTTCGCTTCTCTGGGATCCAGGGATCCGCAGCCGCATGGTCAGTAAAGTGGCCGGAACTGCTTTCATTATTTCACCGCTGTTCACGCACCCGTTAGGGTGGACTCGAGCATCAACTCCCAATTAGACTACTCTACAAGAGGAACGAACGATGATGGGAGCAACATCCCGAGATATGGTTGGAATGGGGGCTCATGTAATGAGGAGCAGAATATACAGGGGTGGGAGATCTGGCAGGAGGCTCGAGGGAGGGAGGGTGTGTGAAAGGGATTGGGGATTGACAGAGCGAAAATGGATAGATCATGGATGTGTTGGGAGCTGGGAGGCAAACGAATTCGGAGTGGTGATGCGAGAGAAAGAGGGGCAGCCAAGCTAAGTCTACTCGTATCTACCACACGAAGGCGAGGGGCATCGCGGGGTGAACAGCGGTAGTTCTTTCGCTCCCCCTTCGACAAACGGGGCCACGCGACGCAGCAACGACAAGACATTAGAGAAAGTTGTTTCTTTGTTTCTTTTTTTACTGTCCTCACTGTAGACTAATCTCGTCCCCTGACACCGCGAAGGCATCGGGGAGGGAGGAGACCTTTCCACTTCTATTCCTCTCTGTTCCAACGCCACAGCCCACCAACCGGTATATTCTGTCTCCTCTGGGGAAATTGGATACTGTGAGTGTGCTTTTATGTGTAATACAATAGCCTTTTGTACGCAGTACGCCTGTGCGTGCTGGACGTGTATTCTAACATACGGTACGGTATGTAACCGACCGACTTTGTCTTTTAGGTGTAACCTTTTCCCATGAGGACTCGAGATATCAAGGCCGCTGATTCGACAATAATTCGAAGACTGGAGGGAATCTTCGCTGTAAGGTAGTAAAAGAGAAAGCGGTACATGGGTGATTGGGATGATAGCTGAGGGTTGCAAAACGTGCAAAGTGTAGTGGTTTATACTCGTAGAAGCTCATGATAATTATGGTGCTCTCATAATTGTGCAAAGCCTCATTTTCGATCCTCATACCTAATATACTACATACCCTACAATAATATCGTACATCCAGCCTGTAAACATCTATCCTCAGCTGCCTCTTTTCTCTTGTCTGCTTTCCTTTTTCCTTCCTTTTCTTTTCTTCTTTTCCCCTTCCCCCTTCCCCCTTCCCCCTTCCCCCTTTCCACCTCGATACCTCGCAGCATAGTATCATACAAAACAGCGAAGCCCTCCTATCTTCTTTTGTTATTTATCTCATCATTATTCTCGCCCTCTTCCTGCAGAAAGCACGTACTGTACTGCATATCCTGTCGTCCGTATCATACTACTCGAGTAGATTCCTCATATCGTTCGTCATCTAGGCAACTGGCCTTCCTCGTGGGAATAACCTCTCCCACTCTCATCCTCACCACCTTCCTCTCTTCATTCACACTCCTCATCTTCCCTCTCTTACTCATCACGCAGCTCACTTTTGACTGACCTGTTTTTTTTTTTTTTGCAAACCTCCTGCTGTCTGCTGATTTTGACTCGTCTGTCCCTCCCCAACTCCATCTCTTTTAAATCACCTCTCAGAAATTGCGCCCGCCTATACTCTTTCTTATCCAATCCAATTGATTTACATCCAGTGCTCCGCGACAAATCGGAAGCTAAGCCCCCCCACTTCATAGTGAAAGGCACCAGCGTATGCAATGTCAAACGACGCACACAATCCTGCTACCCTCATCTCGTACATGGGTGTGTAAATATTCTCTGCTCTTGTCGAATCGTTCTACCCCGTGCCTCTTGCGGTCCATAATGGATGTTTGGCTTACGGTCGTTGTTCCCGCTTCTTCTCTTAGGCTCTACGAGAAATGGCAGATGCGGCTACTGCACGAAATCCACAAGTAATTATCCCTCCCACGCTTTTCTCGCGCCCCACCTCCCACTTCGTCCCTTGCCGCAAATGTCCAACACGTTTGCGGCTCTTGCTGCTATAGGGTGTTTGGTTCAGTGTGAGAGTGGGCTGAATTGACAAGGTCTTTAGGCTGTTCCTTCTACCTTAGGTCTTATGATTTGACTGTTACCGATTACCAAACACTCCTTGACCGTGGCTGGAGACGGTGGGGGGATTCCCAGCCTTGCTTTCATATTACCTATAAAGGATTGTGAAGCAAATATTACCTTATCCGGGACGTTTTGCTGATGAAAAATAATGTTTATTCCCGTAGGAGCGGTACTTTGTTGTATAAGCCGCATATGACGCTTAGTTGTTGTCCACAGTACACTATTCGGTAAGTGTCACTGGGGATGCAGAAAAACAGCTCTGCTTCCAAAACCCAATTCGCACGATGCTTGCGTTGTATGTAGGATTCTTAACAAGGCTGGATGTTGCAGAGTAGATGCTACCACAATTAAAACTTCCAGAGACCAGCGCCAAACCCTTCATAAATGGTCGAGATATATCCTCGGTGAAGGTTATATTCAAGAATGTGCGAAGAGATATCCAAAGTCTAAAGAGTATGTTGAAAGAAAGAAAGACATTCGCCAGAATGAAGAGCCCTATGTGTTGAATTCGTCCGATACATTTTAGTTTTATGGTTGCTGACAGCAATTTATCCATTCGCAGGGAAAAAAGGAGGCAACAATCGGAATTTAACCTCATTGAGACTGTGCATGGACCAGAATATTCTACCCTTCAGGGGCTGAAGAGAATTCCCCCAGAGCCTGCCCACAAGTTCGAAGTTGAACTAGAGTCAACGGTCTTTACCGAGGAGAAGTAAGTGTCAAGCTATTTCTTGTTTGTGGGGGTGGTGGGATCATGCTGGACCCACCCCTAGCTAGCCTTATCCTTCCTTAAGATGGCTATGTTTGCTTTTACTCTATTTCCTCGTTTCTAACATTATTTGGAGATATGAGTTATATGAGAACTACCAACGAACTGTTCACCAGGAGCCCGCCTGGCAAATCACTCGAAGTGGTTTCGTGAACTTTCTCTGCAGGTCACCTATCATGAGCACTACCACACCCTCCGGAATGAGGCTGGGATCCTATCATCAATGTTATCGCGTTGATGGTCGGTTGGTCGCAATGGGTGTTTTGGATTTGCTTCCGCACTGTGTAAGCGGTGTGTATTTCATGTACCACGGAGACTACCGCGCATGGGGTTTTGGAAAGCTGAGTGCTTGTCGGGAGGCCGCCCTGGCCAGAGAGGGAGGTTACCAGTACTACTACATGGGTATATAATGCCTCGTTTGCCCTGATATTTAAAATCTGTGACCCGGAATCTGATTTTATTTGCAAACTAGGCTTCTACATTCATAGTTGCCCGAAAATGTGGTACAAGAGGGAGTATGGGCCGTGCCACCTTTTAGATCCAGAGACATATGCTTGGAATTTGTTCGATAAAAACTTGGAGAGATTGCTGGACAAGCATGGGTATGTTGGAGCGTCAACAATTCGCTCTCATGGGGCCACGGGGGGGGATGACATTCCTGAGAAGGCTCCTGGCTCGACCCCATCGGGGGACATGACTGAGGCAGGAGGTCAGGATGAAAGCGAAGAAGAGGACGAAGAAGAAGTTCCCCCAGGGTTTGTTTTCAGCACAAAAATGCCCGGGATAATGACAAAACAAGAAATCGAGGACTTCGATGTTCGAACCCTCAAATTCCAGCTGGGAGACTCGAAGATAACTACAAAGGTAAAGCTTCTTATCCTCGATCCAGGCCTTATAGTATCTAATAGAAATTTATCCTAGGAGCTCGAGGAGTTAGATCTAGCTACCTACATAGATGTAGGTACTGAGGTTCTAGCTACAGTTGGCCCGGATGTTGCAAAGTCAATGGTCCTGTCCATTGTGTGAGGTATACAGAACAAGGCAGGTGTAAAAGTTCGCAGGGTTGATTGCTGTATCGGTTTTTGGTTTGTATCCAGCAATAGATCGACTAACTCGAGATCTCCAAAAACACTATTGTACACTGTTGCCCTAGGTAGCCATTGTCACGACCTCAAAGCTACTAACAATAGGATTCTTATGATACTACGTGCCAATGTGGGAGGACTCAGGGATTTGGGATGCCAATCGGGGTGTTGTTTGAGTGCGTTAAGATTTCTTGCAATCATTGTAACCTAGTGATAGATTACTTCATAGTCTCATGTGCCGCTGCTTGATGACTCCTTTTCTGTGATAGGCTGAATTCAAACGAAATGCCTCCGAGCAGGCTACTAAGAGCACTAATTTTTCAAGAATCTGGGGACGCGGAGCACAACTGTGAGCGTTAGGTAGGTTTCGGACATCGTTTTCTCTTTTTCTGCAGTGACAAGAGAAGTCACTGTGTCATACATGCCCGTGAGCCAGGCTGTGAACACGCATCGGCGCGTTCCTCCAGCCCTGGCGGCGCCGCTTAAGGTGAAATCCCTTATCAGCTACTCCTAGAGGATGCCGGGGGGGGCGATCGCTACCGAGTGAGGCTCCATGATCCGACCTTCTGCAAGGAGTTATGCGCTATAATGGCTGATACCAAAAGCAAATAAACTTGATCATCCTCACTCTTATATTACCCCGCATCAATACAAGGCTGCGCTCCACAGCGAGTGAAGTGGTAACGTACGCGTAGCTTGGGCAGGTAGGTGAGTAAGTACGTGTGTAGTGATCGAGACTGACAAAGCCCACAACGGACCGATCACTAAACTGGGTAACACAGCCTGCCGGTACTGCTACTCGTACAGATCCATTATATGTGCTCAGCGGGAAGGCTGTAAATTGTGTCCATAGGCCGCGAGAGCCCAATACTTTAGGTAAGTTACAGATCTAGTGCGTGGGACGGGGAGGCGCTCAGATAGACATAATTTTTTGCCATATATTTCTTATCCCTGTTTCGAGCACTTCCCACCCGGGACAGGTACAGTAATAATAAGTTGAAACGTTGAGGGCTGTGCTAGCTGGCTGGCCAATCTAGATGTATGCTCATAACTCATAAAGTCACAATGAACACTCTTCTACTCGATATCTGGAGGCGGGAGAGGTCGGAGGAGTCGGGGAGGGTGGGAAGCTGCTGTGGGTGTGGTTGGATTGAGAAATTGTTTGATCTGGTCTGGCGGGGTTTGATTGCGGAATCTTTCGGGAGGACATTGGTGGCGGTGATCGGGTCGGTCAGAAGGGGAGGAATTGTCCCCCGTTCTGGACTGACTTCTGTTACGTCGGGCGCGCCCTTCTTCCTGTAATATGCCATCGTATCGCCACCACCTCCGCTCCGTCCTAAGAATTATCATGACGATAGTATAATCGCATCGACAACCAACTGGCCTTGGTCGGTCATGTCGCTTATTGGGAGAGCCACGCATCGTTGGAAGCCAAATCCAGTGTTTTGCTCTATCTCTCTCTCCTTTCTTTTTCTTTTTCCTCTCCTTTCCTAATTTACTTATCGTGTAGTATTTACTTTTTTCTTGTCCCTATTTTTAATGACGCAAGATCTACGTTGCACCCAATTGGTCCTTTGAGAGAGGAGGGTTTTATGATAATTGCTTCTTTTTTGAGAAAATGGAAAAATCACGGTTGCACGCCAAGATTTACGTGTGATTTTTCGTGACCGAATGAGAGTGGAAGGGTTAGGGGTTGGTCTGCCTTAGACTGATGGCTTGGCAGTTGTTGGGGAGACCCTTTTTTTCTTTTTGAGCCGCCTCAAAAATTCGGACCTAAATTTATCCCTGTCAACCTCAGTCAGAGCTTAATAAATCTGGACAAAGACCTCCACCTGGCCACACACAACGACAGTCTTTATCATCGTCACCAAACCACCAACCAAACAACACAAGCCCTGTTTTTCTTTTTCTTTTTCTACCCTGCATAACTGGATAATCGGCAAACATGGATGACTATGATACTATCTACGGTTCTGATCGCGGACGTATGTTGTCCTGAGTTCTTTCCGCGACGCTAAGGTGGGTTTGTGTTTGTGCTGTCTGTGGCTAATTTGCTGCGTTCGTACAGCTCAGATTACCATCAAGGAGGCGGACAGCAGGCATGCGCAGATAGTGCTTTCTAACTGCGATCTTGCGTGCGTTTCCTTTTTTTCTTTGTGTTCCTGTTTCTTTTGCTTCCGCCCCTGCTCTATCCTTTTCCGCCCGCCCGATGCTAACCAACCGACCCGGGATCTCGCAGTTTCGCAAATGCCCTTCGCCGTATTATGCTCGCAGAGATTCCCACGATTGGTAGGTTTATGGAACGAGTCGCTACTTATCCGTTCCTTCGTGCACTTGGGGGCTAATGTTGGTGGGTTTCTCAATGTAGCAATCGACATTGTGGAAATTCAGACAAACACCTCCGTCATCCCCGATGAGTTCCTCTGCCATAGGCTTGGAATGGTCCCGCTCGACTCGACAAACATCGACGACAAGTTGATCTACACCCGCGACTGTTTCTGCGATCAGTACTGCGAACGGTGCTCGGTTACTCTGTCGTTGCATGCTAGGTGTACTGGTGAGGATAATGTTACGGTGTATGCGAGGGATTTGGTCATTGCGGAGGGAGCGCAATTGGGCAGTCCAGTTATCAATGGTATGTTCTGTTTAAGGAAAATTGTCCGAACCAGTGAGTGGAGGAGGGGTGAGTTGGGGGATTGTGGTCTAATTTGGGTTGGTGCGGTTAGATCCTGAGGGGCAGGGAACTGTCATTTGCAAATTGCGCAAGGGGCAAGAGCTCCGGTTGAAGTGTATCGCAAAGAAAGGAATTGCGAAGGAACATGCCAAGTGGGCTCCCACGGCGGCCGTTGGGTTCGAGTACGATCCTTGGAATAAACTTAGGCATATTGATTACTGGTATGAGGAAGATGCAAAGGAGGAATGGTATGACACTTCGCTTTCCCTAACTTTATCGAGGTTTGTTCTGGTAATCTTGGTTCAGTGCTAACCTCCAGAAATTGCACAGGCCTAAATCCAAATATGCAGACTGGGAGGAGCCTCCCATTGAGGGTGAGCCTTTCAACTATGATGCAGTTCCCTCCCGCTTCTACCTCGATATCGAGTCTGCCGGATCCCTTCCGCCGGACGAGATCCTCCAGCAGGGTATAAAATACCTCCAGGAGAAACTCGCTGCCGTGATCGAGACCTTCAGTAATAAGAATGAGACTGGTGATGGATTTGGCGACGGTGTCAGGAGCCCCGGACAGGATTATTCAATGGGTGGAATGGGCGGCGGTGGAGCCGGCTACGAGACTCCGTATCAGGGTGGGCGGACACCATTCGGGGGTGGTGGGTTTGGCGGCGCTACCGAGTACGGGGGTCGGCTAATGGGTGGTCATAAGTGTGTCGCTGCGGTAGCGATGGGATAGTTGGGGTGGGTTTCTTGGTCTCGCTGTTGGGGCTAACTTTCTTGCTATAAAAAGTAGTTTTTTTCATTTTCGGTTTTTTTCAAATTTTCATATCTTTCATGCTTTTCCGGGTTGTCGGTGTGTGCCACTTTTACGTTTGAATGCCTAGCTGTGTACAGTACTCGTAGAATAACTATCCACCTACATTATCACCAATCCTCATTAAAATCTTGTGAATGGATGGATAGCATAGACTACTTGATAGGGTGCCGAGAATGATAGGGTAGGGAGAATCACCGGCTCTCCCTGATGAGTCAGCCCTTCTCTTTCAAGTTAAGCACCATATCTCCTCCAAGGGAAGTGTTGGTTCTCGCTACCCTATCGTTCTCGGCACCCTATCAAAGGGTCTAGCCTGGGACAGAGCCCACGACCATACCCACTAGTGAGATTTATCAAATGCGTAATTAACAGCTAAGTCGGATGACTAATCCCGGGGAGTCTCGCTGCCTGCCACCCGTTCATACCATACCGGTATTGTCATTTCCACCTCCCTTCCACCCTTCCAGGATCAGCGTCCTAGAGCCAAGTACGAGTACGAGTAGTGCTCTGGTAGATAAGCCAAGCCAAGCCAAGTTACTTGTGCTACATGCAATGCATAAGAGTTGAAACCGGAGTAGTATTAGTAGAAGAGCAAGCAAGTGGGTAAGTAAGTAAAGTGAGGTTTGACCAAAGGCGGAGGATCAACTCTGTGGTGTTTATCTTGGGTTGTGTGATACGTGCACAGTACTGTAGATATTGCCTGCTTTTTCTTCTTCTCATCTTGGGGAATACAAGTATACGGTAGTGCGCTGTATGGAGGTGAAGTGCAATACTTGTGACGGTTGGATTAGGCTTCTGCAGTGACGGGGCGTCCCTCTCCTTTTTAGATTGTCCCGGCGAGGTGGTGGTTGGATACATAACTGTTACAATTCCGGGGAACGTCGTGCCGTGGAGTTTTGGGTTCCGTTTGGTGGATGGGTATGTTATAAATTACTGTATACTGTCCTGATTATGTTGTTTGGGGGGGGGCTCCCGGCGGTAAGTGTACGGTAGTTGTACAGTATCATAGATCTTGATTAGTACTCTACGGTACTTGTCAAAGAGGCCTTCCCGGGTATCAAGTTATGGAGTACCGGGGTTATATGCCAAGACAAGAGGAATGAGACTACCTTATATCCTCTGTAGGAACCTTAAATGTTTGAAGAGATGTGATACAGTGCCGTAAATTGGCTTGCCCTCCTCAACGGAGGGGGGTCACTCCAGGCTAGGCACCTATGGTATCTAATCTATCCGCAGCGCAAACGATCCATGGAGGGGGGGGGAGGTATGACAGGAAGGGGTTGGGGGTACAGGTTGTGAACCGAACCGCCTATGGTGTTATGATACCGGTATCGTATCTGACGCAGAAGGGTATCACAGGGTTCGGCGCTTGGGAGTACGAGTGCCCTCACCAAGCAAAGATGTCCTCGCCTTTACTTGCAGTTTTATGGCCTTCTTGGAGGTCGAAGGAAGTTCCCTCCCCCCCTCCCCCCTCCTCTCTGATAATATCAATGGTATGAAAGCGAGCGCTAAAGTTTTACCCTGGGCTGGACTAAAGTTTTTGTGTTCTATGGTAGCTCGATACTTTGTTCTGAAGAACGTCGCTAGTAGTCGGGTATGGTAGCGTAGGTAGCGCGCTGTCCGATGGGACTGGGAGCCGCGGTAGATAGGCGCGTGATGTGTGAATGATTATATGATTTGGCAGAGCCAACTTACTCCCCGCCGGCGAGGGAGACTATTACCGGACTGGGCACCCCAAGCGCCGGTACTCGGTACGAGTACAGCACAGTGACCAGTTAACAGAACCATAGGGTGAGTGGATCATGTTATGCTCTCTCACTCGTTCGCTTCCAATTTCCAATGCTTTATTCATGATCCTTTGCTTTACATACTCCCCCACCACACTGTAACCTATCCACCAAGAAAGAAAGCATACAAAACACCATCCATCTCGATCCTTTCCCTTTACCGGTATTTCCCCTGGGATCCCTCTCAGCCATCCAAAACCCACAGCCCATTCATCCCAACTTTCCCAAAATATGCACCCACACACCCCACCACAGTGCGGTACCATAGACTATCCACCGGTTCACAGCTTAACCCACCTCACCTCGAGTTACTATACCGGTATTCTCCTAGAGACACAAATCCCGCCCCCCTCCGCCCCTCATACAAGATTAAAGCATTTCAGCCCAGGAAGAGGTATGAATAAAACGAACCACTCCCCCACCACCGTTCCCTTCCAACCTCTTTTGTCCGTGCAGATCTTTGCTCTTGCCGTCACGGATGCGCTGACGACGCCCAACGTCGAACGGTCTTGGTCTCTCCATACCCCTCCACCCCTCCTCCGCCCACCCTCGTGACAGTTGTGGATATAAAATTTGGGGAATACCCTTTTCGTTCTCGGCTGGCCGATTGCTTTATCCTGTTGTTCTAATTATGTAGCACAGCGTTATAGT